TTCTCACCCGGTGCTTTGCATTTGGGAAGAGGTGATTTCAAGAGTGGCCAGGTGGGACGCCTCTCTCCTTATTCGGTTTACTATTTATTGTTTGGGGTGTTTTCTTTTTAAATTCCTGTTTTGCTCGGCCCGGGGAGTTTCGCCCCCTGCCCGGCTCCGCGGCGCGTAGGATGGTGTGGAAACGGCTGGGCGCGCTGGTGGTGTTCCCTCTGCAGATCATCTATCTGGTGGCGAAAGCAGCCGTCGGACTGGTGCTGCCCGCCAAGCTGCGGGACCTGTCGCGGGAGAACGTCCTCATCACCGGCGGCGGGAGAGGCATCGGGCGTCAGCTCGCCCGCGAGTTCGCGGAGCGCGGCGCTAGAAAGGTACCAGGCACTGCGACTCCGGGGAGTGGGGGCCGCAGGGGCGGGAGTGAGCCCACCTGCTGCCGCTGCGGGATCCGGCGCCCGGGAGCTGAGAGTCGCCAGCCACCCCACTCCCCCGCGCCACCCGCGAGTGCTGAGCTAGTCGGTTTCACCTTGTAAATTTGCCGGGCACCGGACTATCTTTTTTGGCAGGTTCAGAGTTGATCCGCTCCTTGGGGATCGGTGGCTGGCTGGCTATTCACCCCCACCCTGAAACTTAGGAGACCCACCCATCTCCCACATTCCTGCCTCCCAAAGGAAGGTGTTGTGCCCCCCTCCCCCGCCTTCCCCCCTTTTCCTCGCCGCCACCCTGGTGAGTGCAGGGTGTGCGCGCTCCTGGGTAGAGCTGGGAGCCGCCTGCTAGCTGGCGCCTCGTATTTTCCTTGGCAACCCGCTACCCAGCCCCAACCTGGGCGGCTGCAGCTCTGAAGACAAGAGAGGGGGTAATTGGTTTGGGTTTGAAAAGGGAAGAGCGGTCTTGGATATAGCAGTCTGGCCGGACCGACACTGGGAGGCCCAGGTGTCTGGAAAGCAGGAAAGGGGAGGCCAGGGTAAGCAGCTACTGATAAAGAGCCCTTGTTCTCACCTTCAACCCTGTCCCCTCCCCCCATCACACCCCCCAGGGATCCCTCCCCATTTAGCTGGAAGGTGGTGCTACAGGGAGAGTCCTGCCCACCAGACACTGCCTTTCACTTTTCGGTGGTCCCAGCACCCCTTGCTCCAGGTTTTGGAGACCTGGTGCTAGAGAGTGGGGAGGGTGAGCCGGCTGTCACCCAACTCCCAGCCCAGGCCAGGCTGACTCACCCGGTGACCAGGGCCATCGGGAGAGGGAGGCCGGCCCGGCTGTCTCCAGCCAGCTCTGTGAAGAGGAAGAGTGAAAACAGGGAATTAGTTTGAAACTTAAACTGTTGTGAACTAGGGGGGTGAAAGGGCCGCAAAGCCAGCTGATCTGACATGGAGCCGCATACCTTGGGGATTAAGTAAATATGTACTGTAGAAAACCAAACCTGCATGTAATTCCAGGTTGCTTTTGTTTTGTTAAATACTGCCCTGAGATTTACAATTCCTCAGGGGTGGCTCTGACTGGGACTGAACTTTGGAGCCTGAACTATCAGCCAAAGCCGATCCGATTAACTCTTCCCTAGCCGGGCTGGCCGGAGCCCGTGGTGGCCAAGCTAGCGGGGGTCTGGCTGTCCAGGACTCCCTCTTCTCCTTGGGTGGTTTGGACAGCTGCTTGACCTTGCATTTGGAGGGGGAGTTCGGAAGTGTTTTTAACCCTTGGACACACCAAATAAGGGGAAGTAAGAGTTGTTCTCAGCAGTTTCATTTCCTTGAGGCGATGCCCCATAAAAGGGCTCCTGAGGCTCTTTGAGAAGGGGTCTCAAAAGGGCAGATGAGGGTGTCCCTTGGGGGGGGGGATGTGGGGTTTGGGACAATTGCATGTGATTGTCATTCTTTAGCTGTCTGCATCCCACAGAGACTTTCTTCTGAGTCTTCCAGCTGGCCCAAGTCCTGGGTCTCTTTTACTGTTCCTGTAGCTGACTGCAGTAGGCAGATGAGGAACTCTTAGTCAATCTGGAAAAACTTGACTGACTATAAACAATCCTAAATTGAAAGAAGTGTATGGCACTGGGGGCTGGGTGTGATAGCCCAGAGTGGAGCCTGCAAGCTCACACACCGGGGAACCAAACCCCACCTAACTTGGTCTGGACGTCCTCTTCCAGGGAATCCAGCCAGGGCCAATTAGAAATATGTCTGAAATTGGTGTCAGGGTCACCAAAAACAAAAACAGGATCCATGGGGGCCTGTGAAACTCTGAGTGCCATTCATGCTCGGTTCAGTCATCCGACTCATCAGGGTGACCAGCAGTGCTCCCTGTAACTCGTCATTATCTGGCCAATTACTGGAGCTACTTTATAATGAGGCTTCTGTTTGCTGTCATGGTGGAGAGTTTGGAACTGTGGCTTCTTGCCTGAGACCAGAGAGACGACTTTGGGACAACCCCCAGAGCCAGGAGTGTTTTGGGGTTGGGAACAGAGGGTCAAGGGTTGAGGGACTGGGGGATTTATGGGTTGGGGACAGGTGTGAACAGTGGGGCTTGGGGGTGGCCCAAGAGCACTGGACCAGGGAGGGCCGGTGCTACCTGCAGGGTGCAGTGATATGAGGCGAGGCGGCGGTGCAGATCCACAGATGACGTCCCCTCTCCTCTTGCATCTGAGCAATTCCCAGACTAGATTCCGGTGGGATTGGATCTGGAGAGGAGAGACCCCCAAAAAGAAAAAAAAAATTAAAAATAGAGTACCAGAGTCCCTGCAAATAGCTGACATGTCCAGGAGTTACCTGTTTATTTGGGAAGGAGGGAGAGTTGACAACCCAGTTTCCCATAATGACCTTGACCTAAATAGGATTTGGCAATATTTGTGGGTGGTGGTGAGCCTTAAGGTGCAAACGTGGCCCAAATAAGCGAGGGTTTTTCTTAAAGGGTCACTAAGGCTGTAAGAACTGGAAAGCTTCTAATCAGGACACATCTCTCTTTACCCACAGTGCATCGTGGCAAACTGAGGCAGGGCCAGTCATGGTTAGGGTCTCCAGGCATAAAGTTCTGGCTTTTTAATTTTCTATGCCCTCCTAGAATTCCCAACACAAAAGCATTCACAAAGCTTAAGCGTGTTCCCTTCCCTCCAAGGGAACTCACTTCTGGCTAGTGGTCAGCCCAGGCTTCAGTCTTTGAGTTTGACATGGTGTTAGCAAGAGCCCCTGGGAGCAGAAGCGGACCGTTCGTTTAGAAGTATCTGTCGTGACCATTCCAGCCTTTGATTTGGTATCAGGCAAGTGGCTGGACTAGAGTCTTGGGCCATGATTGCAAACCTGGGGAGGTGAGGCAACATACATGGGCCAATACCACATCAAGAACTCCAGGACCTTGGCCGGATGCAGTGGCTCAAGCCTGTAATCCCAGCACTTTGGGAGGTGGCAGAGGGTGGATCACCTGAGGTCAAGAGTTTGAGACCAGCCTGGCCAACATGGTGAAACATTGTTTCTACTAAAAATACAAAAAATTATCCAGGCGTGGTGGTGAGCACCTGTAATCCCAGCTACTTGGGAGGCTGAGGCAGGAGAATTGCTTGAATCCAGGAGGTGGAGATTACAGTGAGCCGAGATCGTGCCATTGCACTCCTCCTGGTAACAGAGCGAAACTCCATCTCAAAAAAAAAAAAAAAAAAAAAAAAAAGAAAAGAAAAGGAAAGGAAAAGAACTGAAGGACCCATTTCAGAGACGTAATCTGAGAGGAGGAATTTCAGGGAGATAGGATGGGGACTGGCTTAGAGTTCTGTCTTGCTATCAGTGAATTTACACCCAGCCAGGCTAGCCCTGTGATAGATTTATGAATCCCATTCTCCAGCACTTCCATTCAGCAAGTCCTGTGTCCTTCCCATCTCTAGCCCTGGGGCCAGCCCAAGTTCCTAAGTCCCTTGACACAGTCTCTGAGAGACCTAGCTCAGCAAGCCCGCCTGGGGTGTCTGTTCAGTGTTTGGTACAGCTCTGGGCCTGTGGGGAGATGCAGCAAAGATGAAGAAAGCCTAGAGCGTGGCCAGGTACTTACAGTGAAGGCACAGGTGACCATGTGTATGTGCTTCCTATGGTTACCATGACAAATTAACACAAACTTGATGGCTTACCACGACAAAATGTATTCTCTGGTGGTTCTAGAGGCCAGAAGTCTGAAATCAAGGCGCCAGCAGGTTCCTCTCCACTCAAAGACTCTAGGGGAGGATCTTCATCATCTCTTGCTGCCCCTTGTGTCTCCTGATGCTCCTTGGCTGATGGCAGCATGGCTCCGATCTCTCCTTTCGTTATCACGTGACCTTCCTCGCTGTGTGTGTCTGGGTCCCATTTTTTTTTTTTTTTTTTTTTTTCTCTTCTCAAACTTTATTTTAAAAAATGTTTTATTTTCTTTTTTTTTTTTTTTTTTTTTTTGAGACAGAGTCTCGCTCTGTCATCCAGGCTAGTGTGCAGAAATGTGATGTCAGCTCAATGCAACCTCCGCCTCCCGGATTCAAGCGACTCTCCTGCCTCAGCCTCCCAAGTAGCTGGGACTACAGGCGACCGCCACTATGCCCGGCGAATTTTTGTATTTTTAGTAGAGACGGGGGTTTCACCATGTTAGTCAGGCTGGTCTTGAACTCCTGACCTCGGGCAATCCGCCCACCACAGTCTCCCAAGTGCTGGGATTACAGGCGTGAGCCACCGAGCCCGGCCCATCATCATCTTATAAGGACACTGGTTATTGGATTCAGGGCACATACTAAATCCGGTGTGACTGCATCTCAAGATCCTTAACTAGTTACAGCTCCAAAAACTCTCTTTCCAAATACGGTGATGTTCTGAAGTTCTGCATGGGCATGAAGTTTGATGATGCTGTGCAGTGGAAGCACAGAGGAGCAGTTAATTTATAGCAAGCGCTCATGAAAGGCTTCGTGAAGGAAGGAGCCTTTGACTGAGCCTTGAGGAAGGTCAAGAGTTTCAACCAGAAGGGGTGTGACAAGGGCAATCTAGGTGCAAGAAACAAACCACCTGATCAGAGACTACCTGGGCCGGGCGCGGTAGCTCATGCCTGTAATCCCAGCACTTTGGGAGGCCGAGGTGGGTGGATCACAAGGTCAAGAGATCAAGACCATCCTGGCCATCCTGGCCAAACCCCGTCTCTACTAAAAATACAAAAATATTAGCTGGGCCTGGTGGTGCGTGCCTGTAATCCCAGCTACTCAGGAGGCTGAGGCAGGAGAATCACTTGAACCCAGGAGGCGGAGGTTGCAGTGAGCCAGGATCGCCCCACTGCACTCCAGCCTGGGCAACAGAGCGAGACTCCTTCTCAAAAAAAAAAAAAGACTCTACCTGGCTGGAATTGAGGGAGAGAAGTGGAAAGGGAAGCAAGAAAACACCACGTTGTGGGATAGGGAGGTAAACAGGGAGTTTACATCTCAGACTCTGGGTCAGGTCAGTGCTGTTGAGAATAGGAAAACAGAGAAAGAAGAAAAGGGTCCAAACAGATCATCTGTGGGTCCCTGGAGTCATCAGGCCAAAACAGCTACACTAACCAGTTTACAGGGGAGACAGCAGTGGCCCATCTTGCCCATCGTCACCCTGTGCAGCCTGGAAGCAGGCAGGTGGGCTACCTGTTCCACCTGTGACATCTAGAAGTGTTTCCGTTTGGAACGTTGGTCACGACTGGCCTTACGAATCAGGCTATGCCATCAACAGACAAACACCTCCTTCTTACTCCCCCAGGCCCTTCCCTTGGGGAACAAAGGTGTCTACCTCCGGAACCACGCCCTCCTGCAGTCTTGCTCACCTGGACAGGAGGCCCAAGACTGAGTTCTTTCTATTTATTTATTTACTTAAAAATAGAGAGGGGAGTCTCGCTGTGCTGCCTAGGTTGGTCTCAAACTCTTGGGCTCATCAAGCCTCCCTTTTTGGCCTTCTAAAGTGCTGGGATTACAGGTGTGAACTGGCCCGCCCAGCGAAGACTGGGTTCTTGACCCTGGAAAAGTTACTACCTTCTCGGTTTGCAGCTGAGAAGCACACCTATAAAATGAGAGGGGTTACGATTATCTCTAAGATCCTGGCATGCTCAAAAATTCTCATCTTATAGATCAGTCAACCCTTGAAAGCAGTTGATCACCAAACTTTCCTAGGCTGTAGGGAGGAGACTTTGGGGTGAAGAAAGCGTTTGTCCCCATCACTGATGATCTCAGCCTTTGCTGGTCATCAGATGCCACAAAATGAAAAAGAAGCAACTCAAAGTTGGAAAATGTGCTACGCTCCAGCTCCACAGAACCCCACAGCCATCTTAAAGTCCCTCAACAGGTGGCGTCTGCCATGGATGTATTTCAGCGTTTGCAGAAGACGTTCATATTTCCAAACCATCGCTCCCAAGGGAATAAGAGACCCAGGTTACCCCACTAGCATATCAGACAAAATGTCCTGTTTTTTTTTTCTCCTAAAATCACCAGTTTGTCTATTTGGGCTTTCAAGAATGCCTCCTCCATCTAGTAATACTGAATGTGAGTCAAGCTCATTTTCAGTCTACCTAGCCCTTCTGCTAATTCTCATTTAGACTTCAAGCTCTTCTGAACTCCCATCTTTTCAGATGAAGCGTGCTTGTTTATGGCTGGACAGCTCCCTTCCAAGCTCTTCCCATCTCTGTATCATTGTGGTTACCTTCTCCGGTTCATTTCCATCTTGATATTTGCTGAGGCCATCTACTTTGAGAAAGTGATCTCAGCTGTATTTATGAGGCATCCTTTCTACCCAGGAAATGTATCTGGTTGTCACAATTGCTGTAACAAAAGGCCTTGTCTTAACTTGCCACGACCAGCGATATCCTACCACAATTTTGAGTATCAGTAGAGGATGGGTCCCACATCTGACACCTTCCCCCTTATCCTTGGACAAAAGCACCTAGAAACATTTCACCTAGAAACATTCTAGGTGAAAACACCTAGAATGCTATGAGGTCATCCCCGTTGTCACCTTCAGGAGACACAATTTAAAAATACAAGTCTGGCCAGATGCGGTGGCTCACGCCTGTAATCCCAGCACTTTGGGAGGCCGAGGCGGGCAGATCACCTGAGGTTGGGAGTTTGAGACCAGCTAGACCGACATGGAGAGACCCCTCACTACTAAAAATAAAAAGTTAGCTGGGTATGGTGGTGCACGCCTGTAATCCCAGCTACTCAGGAAGCCGAGGCAGGAGAATCGCTTGAACCCGGGAGGTGGAGGTTGCGGTGAGCCGAGATCGTGCCATTGTACTCCAGCGTGGGCAACAAGAGCAAAACTCCATCTCAAAAACAGCAGCAACAAATATATATGTATATATGTACATAAGATACTTGAAACATTTCAAACATATTATTCACATGGACCATGAGGGTTAGGAAACCATTGAAGCCCATTGCAAAGAAGAAAAGTGAGTCTATTTAGATACTAGCATACCCACATCTGCTGTGGCACCCTGAAATGAGTGAGATCTTAGAGTCTGAAAATGAGTACATGCCCAGATTCTCAACAAGAGAATGCCGGGTTAGCAAATGAATGGTTAGCGGGAACTCATTCATACATTCAGCACATTTATTGAGCAACTGCTATATGCCAGGCGCTGTTCTGGGCACTGAAGGCATGCATGGAGCAAAGCAGATAAAAATCCACACCCACGTGAGAGCTGGCATTTTAGTAAGAGAGGTAGACAAAAAGCAAGTTCCATAGAACAGTACATTTTCATTTTCATGCCTATAATCCCAGCACTTTAGGAGGCTGAGGTGGGCAGATCACTTGAGCTCAGGAGTTCAAGACCAGCCTGACCCAACATGGTGAAATCCCGTCTCTACTAATAATACAAAAAAAAAAAAATCAGCTGGT